AGCGGTGTCCAGCCCAGGGCTGCCCTCGCTGCCAAGGCAGGGAGGTGGAAAGCTGTGATCCCTCGTTCTCCCCCCCTCCTCTCTGCATCTCCGAATTTCCATAGGACATGCAGACCCCTGAGCATCACGGTTACTATGAGACACCCTGAGAGCAGCCGGGGTGAAGGGGGGTGCCCCGGCAGGGCTGGAGATGCTCCTGGGTCTCTGGCCAAGCAGGGTGTCCCAGGGATGGTTCAGGGCAGCCCCGCTCCAGGGGATGCTCCATCATATTCAGCAGAGCACGAAAGTCTGAGGAGGGTGAGAGGTGAGCAATTACCTCCCAATGAGTTAATTATGTACAGGAACAGCAGAAGGCTGATTAAAAAAAGGTTATCACAAACTAAAGAGTGCGTGGATTTACGGCACAGCAGCTGCACCTGAAAACTGCCTGTCACCCAGAGGTGAGCAGGAGATGGCTTGTGCCTCCAGGAAAGATCTTGGCAGTTTAAAGGAGGCTTGAGAGACCACAAATAAAAGAAAATGGGGAAATAAATACAGAAGGGAAGGGAAAAGGAGTATGAAAAATGACAGAGAAACCTGAGTCTGAGGTTCTGGGTGGTTTTCCAGGTGGATCTGGACTGGACAGAGGCAGGACAGTCTCAAGGACAGCAATGTTACAGCCATCCCAGCTATTCCCTTTCACCCGAGGAGCAGTAGGTGGCTTTAGAGCCTTAAATCAGCTGAGACTTCATTGCTTCCACAGGCAAAAAAAACGCGGGAAAGAGCCCGTGCATAAATAAACCGTGCGGTTCACGCAGAGTTCACAGGCATCGATGGACGAATTACCCCCGTGTCCCAGAGCGCTCCTGGGACAAAGCCCCAGTAAAGCCTGGGGCAGGTGATGGCGTGAGGGGTCCCCAAGATGACCAAGACACCCCACGGCTTTGGGTCCAGGCACTGAAAGAGGCCGACCTGTCTGGGTCTAACACGGCGTTTGCTGGCAGACAGCTCTCTGCACACCCTGAGCTGGGCGTCGGGGGGGCACAGCCGGGGCTGGGCAACAGGCAGGGGGCTGCAGCCCTCCCACCACTGTGGCTGGGGTCCCCAGCACGGTGGGGTCTGTCCTGAGCCCCTGGGGTTCACCGGAGCTGGACAACCCTGCAGGCTCGAGCACCCACTGCGGCTGCAGAGAGGGACGGACTTTATTCAACCTGAGCACGAGAATGCGAGATACCCCCGCGTCCCTCCAAGCATACACAAAAGAGTCCAAAACACAATGTTTGGAGGCAAAACCCACTTGTGTTCCTTCTCTTCCAGGCAGTGTAGGCGGGATGCAACATTTGCATGGAAAAGAACAAGCTGCTGTTCTGCTGAGTTAGGTACCAAGAGAAGCGGGGTGGGATCCTTCGGGCAGGCTGGGCTCCCAGCCCTCTGGGGCGGACGCGAAACACCACAGGGTCCCTTCCTGTCCCGGTGTCCCCGGCTCACACCGACAGCACGATGAGGTCCTGGTGAAGCAAAGGGGTTCCCTTCCCTCTGAACATCCTCCGTGCAAGCGCTGGGCACTGCCTTTGCTCCGGAGAGGAGCTGAGGCGCTGGCGGGAGAACCTTGGGGCGCTGCTGGAGCACTTACCTCGACGACGGCGATGTCCGCGTTGGTGAAGTCGATGTTCAGCAGCCTGGGGAGGGGGATCCCTGCTCCCAGCATGTCTGTGGGTCACAAGCCAGCCCAGCTCAGCGCCATGGGAGGGAGGGTTCACTGCCAAGGGCTCAGTCCCCACCTCCACCCTCCCTGTGTGCCAACCTCTCCCTCCGTGAGTGCAAGACTCTCCAGAAAGGCTTTGTGTCGTGGGACTTAGTGTCTCCACAAAACATAATGATGTTTGCTCCTGCTAGCCAAGTGGCGAGCAGCCTGGCGGAGGGGGCCCCTGTTCCATGATGTGTGGGTTTGCCTCCCAGCAAAACGCTGCCGTCCACAACGAGCCCCCCCCCCGGCGAGGGCAGGTCAGACCCACTGGCTCCTGTTCTGCACAGCGAGGGGTCACGCCCTGCAGTGAGCAGTCCAGCCCGCGGGGACACGGGGACGAGGCACAAGAGCTTCCTTACGGTTCACTGCAGGCAGGAAGGCAACATCGAAAATCTGGCCAACGAGCATCTCCAGGAGCGAGACCTGCAACACAAGATGGGTCACAGCCTGGACTCACGCTGTCCTCGGGCATGCGGGGGGGCTCCGCTCACACCAGCTAAACCCGACCTGAACCCTCGGTGCTCCAGCTCCACACCCATCTAATGCAAACTCCCAGTTTCACAGAAACTGGACTTCAAGCATTCTATGGTCAATAAAATAATGCCATTCCACAGGCCCCTTCCCTCTGGCACTAGAGCTGCCTGCAGTAACCACTTCTGGAAAGCAAACGTGCTCTATCTGCAGGTATCCTGCGACAGGGGAGCCCAGGGTTCTTCCCCACTTGTGGTGTTGTCCCCTATGAGGCACGGGGATGACCCTCCCCAGGCACACCCCGAGGGGAGGGCATGTGCGAGAGGTCCTGCGATTCACCGAGGAGACAAAGCCTCTTCTTCTCGGTGAGGATTTTTTCTGAAAAGTGCTCATGGATCATCCATGAAAAAAAATCCATCCCCAGAGGTGAAAGAAAGGTGCTGTTCAAAATAGGACACAACCATTACACCGTAATCAGCCCTTATTTCTCCTGAGCCAGTATCTATCAGCACTTTGCTTTCCGCAATAGATTTCGTGTCTTGCTGAGGCTGCTCGTGTCCTTACATCAAAATCACCGACGGACGAAGACACCAAGGAGTGATGAGCCCTGCAGGAGGAAGCAGAGGTGAGCAGAGCCCAGGTAGTTCCTCTGATGACCCAGTCCTGCCAATGCCCTCATCATCGCCCAGCCCAGGAGGTCCCACATCCATGGCCACCCCTGGCCACCCCCCAGATGAAGATCAGTGTCCTACTTCTCCAGACTGACGCCGATCTTCAGTTTGTTGTCCTCGACTGAAAACCGGGCCAGCAGGGAGGTGTCCTGTGGTCAGACAGAGAGGTCAGGGCAGGGGTGGCTCCTCCAGCCCTGGTCCCACCTGCAGCCCAGCCATGTCACCACGAGTGCAGGTCCCATCTCTCAGCACCCCCACGCCTGCTGTGCAGGGAGGGGGGGAAGCTGCAGGAGGAATTTCTGCCCAGGCAGTTCCTTCGTACGTACGATACTCAGAAGGCAGAGAGACTTCTGGACGCCATCTGGGTGGATCACCACCACCTCTGCTGTAGCCGTGAGCTGGATCACACCTTTGTTTTTCTTTAAGGTCACCACCGGTGCTTCAGGGACTGCAATTCTCAGCAGCAATTCGCGTGACTCAGGGTATGCCTTGAAAACCTGTCAACAGCCAAAAATGGAAAGTTTCTGCTGGCAGGAGCACAAAGGGGGCTGTAACCAGGAACCACGGAGTAGGCTGCCCACTCCAGCTGCTCTCAGCAGCCAGATCTGATCCTGAACTGCTCTAGTCCAAGAAGTCCGTGTCTCAGCTGCCTGAAGTGAATTCAAGCTAGCTGTGTGCTCAGCCCCGTGGATGCCCTGAGCCCCACTGAGAGCACCTCGCCCCAGACAGAGGAGCACAGAGAGCTCCGCATCCAGGCAGGTGGGGCAGCTGCAAGGCTCGTCTGTGACCTGGGGGAGCTGCAGAGGATGAGGTGACAAGCCGAGCTCTGGCCTGCTGCGGTTTCCAGTTTGGGACCTAAGTCAGAGCTTGTTCACCTCCATGGGATGTCTGAGATGGTGCCTCTGAGAAGGAAGGGATGGGGAGACCTCCCCCGCCTCCGGACACCGCTTCTCTTACCGGGTTATTTGCAGTGCGGGGGGAAAGCAGGACTCACCGCAGGAACGAGGGCTCCAAGGGTCGACGTCGTTAGTGGCGGGAGCTCAGGAAACTGTGACAAAGAGAGAAATGCTGCCCATGTGTGTGGCGGTTTCCAGCAGAATCTGCTTTCACCAACGTGCCTGAGGCTTTTACTACACGGTCTCTCACTCATGTTTTTCACCTAAGGTAGCAGAGACCCTGCTAAATGGCACAGGGGTGCTAAGGCACTGCACAGTGGGACTGGTTTGCACGGCTGACAGCCCTGAGTCCTTCCAAACCCAGAGCCAGGCAGTGCCCCCCACTCACCATGCCGGTGGAGATGTCCAGGTCCAGGGCACCCTCCTTCTGCAGGACAGACAGCACCGAGCCGAGGAAGTTCACAGAGAGGCCCAGCTGGGAGGAGCTGGTGTCCGCCATGGGTGGCAGGGGTGGCACAGGGACCCGTGGTGGCGTGGGGACAGCTTCTGGCTTTCCCAGCGGGTAGTCCACCAGGCCCCCTGCCACCCGCCCGACGACCGTCTGGAGTTACAGGGAAGGGAAGCACAGGCCGAAACGTTTGCAATGTTTGTCTTTACGGTTAACTTCGTGTTCCTTCAGTGTGAGATTGCTGCACGCACGACCATGCCAAGTCAGACCCCGTGACACTTCCTCCTCCAGAAGTTCACGAGGTGCAAACCCCGCTGCGCTCTCCCGTGACGGCTGCAGCAGCAAGAGCAGGGCACCGAGCGGGGAGCTTTGCACAGCGACCTCAGAGCCCACTGCTCAGGTCTACATAGCCCAAGGAGACCTTCCCAAACCCAAGTGAACTATCCCAACCCTTGTACATAGATGGAAGGAGAAGATGCAGGACTTACGTTCAAGTCTACCTCGAGGAACTGTCCGGTTACCAGGGGAAGGCTGGACACGGTGTACTGGATACTGCCCAGCAAACCCAGGGGCACCAGTGCTGGGGGGAGAAGAAGGGAGTCAGCAATTCCCTGCTGGGCTCGGGTGCAAATACCCCCTCCCCTGCCCAGCAGCTCTTTTTTTTTCTTCCAGAAGAGCCCTTGCTTGCAGGTGAACTCAGGGCAGCCACTTGGCCCCGGGAGCTCTGTGCTGAGCAGTAACGCCGCAGGAGACGCCGTTTCCCTAACGAGCAGCACGTGCCACTGCTGCAGGTGGAGAGGACAGCGCGTGGCCCCCATGGGAGCCACCTTTATGCACGCAGGGGTCCTTCTGTCCATGGTTAGAGACAGGGAAAGGGGAGATGTGGGGAGGGGAGCGCATCCTGCACCGTGTTGGGGCACTGATCCTTGGCTGCTGCCTGGGGGTGATGGTGTCTGGACAGGGAGATGCTGGGGGTCCCTGCTCCCAGCACAGGGCAGAGCTGGGGTCTGAGGGATGAAGGGGGTTTGCTTTTCCCATCTGGGGTGCAGCAGCAGAGGGGAAAGCGTCACAGTCCCTCAGGCAGCCAGGGCCGAGGTGACATGAGGGGCAAGGCGTGGAACCCGCCACGTACTTACAGTTCACAAGACCCAGCTGGTCGTTGACCAGTCCCAAGGCGACGTCGACCACCGGGCAGAGCTGCAAGAGCCGGGAAGGGAGGGTGAGTAACCTGCCTTCGGACCTGGACAAGGACACGCAGCCCAGCTCGGCTCTGCCTCGCTTCCCCTGGGGGCAGGAGCACCGGCAGTGTGGGGTGGCAGTCCCCACCGGTGAGGGCGCACCAGCTCTGGCCCTGGCCCTGGGCACCTTGCCCTTTGTCGGAGAAGCGGGGTTAGGACTGAGTCCCAGGACCCCATGTGGGACACCTGGAGAGACCCTGGGGCTTTCAGGAGGGAGGAGAGATTCTATGAGCCCCTAACACAGTCCAGAGCGTTGTTAGAACCTCCCAGGCCCGTGGGCAGACCTGCGCTGGGCTCGCTGGCCTTGCGTTTGGGAGGAGAGAGCAGCTTCTCCCAAGCAGACAGAGACATGACACGTGTCCCTCACTAATCCCATACCACTGGGTGGGTGGGTGGACGCAGCAGCTCTGGGACAGTGACCACGGTCCCGCTCCGGGACACCAGCAATGCCTCAGGGAGCTGCACTGCAGATTCTCAGACTCATTGCTCCGTACTGGGGTGGAGGGTTTTTTTCTGACTTACCAGATTAGGAAGAAGTCTGTTCAGGACACTTGCCAATAAATTATCCACAACTGGGAGCAGGCTGTGGAAAAATAAAGGAGCACCATGAAAAAAAGCTGCTGCAAAGTAAATAGGTCTTGTTAAACAATTCCCTGAGAGCAGCACGGAGTGGAGACGTCCCGGAGCAAGGCAATTCAGCAGCAAACTGAATCATGTATGCTCGGATTTTCCATGAGATAAGTGTAATTTGCATCCCAAAATAGCCAGTGGGAAATTTATTGCTGCCTTTTATCTACTAGTGTACAGTCCCCTTAAATGAGCCACCACAACCTCAGCCCAAGTGGTTTCTAATATTTACATACCACGTGCTTACACCTCAGAAGACCCCGCACAAGGCCCGTTAAAATGGCCCATGAATGGGGCACATGGGACAGAAATGTCCCCCCGGACCACTGTGGGGTCCTGCAGCCCTCTGGGACAACATGTCCGTTTGCTGCGGCTGCGTGAGGGGCTCACAGGGACCACCGCCACCAGCAGCCCTTTGCTCAGCCCCGTGACATGGCCAGCGAGGGACTGTCACCTGCAGGGATGGCGGCTGCCGTGTCGCAGTCACCAGCAGGACTGAGGCGTGCGATGGGGAGATGCCCGCCTGCGTTTGCCGTCCTGCGGGTGCGGGCTGGGGCCGGCAAAGCCTGGCGGCGGGGTGGCTCATGCCGGCAGAGGAGGACACCTCCGCCACTCACCGTCTCAGGAGTCTGACTTCAATGCCACCGAGGAGGGTATCGCATCTTTCTGCCACCAGCTTGGGGTAGCCCGTGCTGTCCATGGTCAGCCTGGCCCTCGACGTGATGTTCACTTCCACTGCGATGTCGAGCAAACCCAGGAGGCTGCGTGAGGGGAAGGGAGCGACCTTCAGGGGAGCAGCTGCTTCGCGGCGAAAAGGAGCAGTGT